TGTTGTGGATTCTTGTGGATCATTATTTATTTTCAAATTCAATTTTTCCGAAATTCCCAGGTAGCACACATTAGTATAACTAACGTATTTTATACGTAATACTCGTTTAATTTTGGTATTGGTTGATTCCGTATACGTTTACAGTTTACGATTATTATACATGCCGTATTTTAAAAGATATATTATACGTTTTTTGTATTCATCCTATGGTATATAATTGTAAATTTTTCTACGTTTAAATGTAGTTAACAATATACGACTATTTTTAGTTTGCGATGAACTATTTATATACAGTGGGTCTAAATATACGTTTAGGTTTATTTAAATTAAATTCGTATAAATTTACATAATATTACAGTATGTGTTCTTCGTTTATAACTTCCGTTTAAATTTCGTCTTGGTTGATTTTTTAAACGTTTACCATCTACCATTTTTATACTTAACGTTTTTTAACAGATAAATTAAACGCTTTTGTTTGTGGATACTAGTTAATATACCTATATTATTCTACGTTTAAATATAACTCACCTTAAACGCATATTACCAGTTTACTATGAACTAGTAGACAGAAGTAAATAATATGATTATATTTAGGTTTATTTAAATTAAAAGCTTATAATATATTTATTTACATTACACCATATTTTTTTAATTATATTTCCTGTAATATTTATAAAAAATTCCCCATTGTACCGATTTCAAACACCCGAACATTTAAATAACCCGGCAATAACCATGGTGGGGTGGACTAGTCCATGTCGTTTCAGTGAGTGAGATTCGGGGTGTGCTTCAAGCTAAGTCGGGCTGGTCCAAAGTGCGCGTAGTGCAGAGAATCGAGAGGGGAGTAAGGTACCGGCAGACGATCGGGAATCAGCTGAGTGATGGTGGCTGGTGGCTGTGAAGGGCTCGCTATCAATCAAACGATCAAACGATTCATGCTATTATTCAATTTTTGGATTTTACGATTTTACGAATTTTCGATTTATCAATTTTTCGATTTTCTTTTATTGAATAAATGAAAAGTTAATATTGTTTAACGCCGCACCGCTGTGCCGGTCGGAGTGGGGGTGTTAGGTTTTTTTTCGTTACGGTCGTTACGGAATTTCTTGATTCGGTCGCCGCACTCAAAGCCCGCTATAAAAGCTATGCAATAGCTTAAAATTATTTTATATTTAAAAAATCACATAAGACATGACGGCAACAATTGTATTTTCCTTGAAAATTACAATTCTAATTCATTGTGAACCTAGCTTTTAAACCAGAATTATTAATATTTTTACCTACCTTTTAAACCATGTTTATGTGTGAAAGGAAGAAGGATGGCATTGTATAAACCATTTGCAGAGATAGTCAAGAATAATTATAAACCCTTGTCAGACAATTATTTTAAACCATAATCATAGTAGTTTTTTTGTAATTTCAATGGCAACCTGTAAAAATGAATCACAACAATAGGCATACAAATAAATTTTTAAATCAGCAAAAATTGATTCATATTTTTAATAATGTGTACCTACTAATCGTGGATAGATGTTTTTGTGCGATGTTAAGAGGAAGAAAATGTTTCCCTTTTACGATATATATCAAGATATATTTGAATGTTATAAAATTAGCGCTGTCATACCTTATGGGATTTTTTAATAAAAAATAATTTTTTAAGCTACTTTGCTCAGGATTGGAATTGGCACAGGTGCCATTTGGTAAAGTACAATGTTTTTCCATGTTTTTGGGGTATATTTCATATCGTTATCAGATGACGGTAAAAATTTGCAGTGGGCTCTTGGGCTAAAAGGTACTAAATACTGCATTTGTGATAATAATAAAATGTATGTACATAGAGTACTCACTCATTTTCTTTCACTATTTTTTCATCACTTTCTTCATTAATAAATGCACTTTGTTTATTCATATTTAAAACACTTTATACACAAATTTTACGCGTACAGCTATTCACTGTTGTACATAGATGACAGGTACCTACACCTACTTGGATTTGGATAGTGTAGATAGCAAGTTGGTGGTTCGAGCCCCGGAACTTTTAGTTTTTTATTTTTTGTTTTTTTTTTGTTTTTTTTTCTTAAAAAAAAAAAGGAAAAATATTATTGTTTTATTATTTCACAGTCTTGGTCATTTAAAATGTTTAGTTTTTAAAAAGTATATACTTATTCAGTGATTTTCCACACTTGTAATGTAATATACTATTCCTATTTTTTTTTAATTTAAATAAACGAAGTCTCCACTGGTAGCTTGCATTTTTAAAATTAGCTGAACTTGTTATGATCCACTATGCATTGAATAAGTATATACTTTTTAAAAACTAATAATTTTAAATTACCAAGACTGTGAAATAATAAAACAATAATGTTTTTCCTTTTTTTTAAGAAAAAAAAAACTAAAATTTTCGGGGCACGAACCACCAACTTGTTATCCACACTACGACCACTGTACGCTCTGTGTCACCGAGGACATGTTGATAGATGTATGGAATTGCTTATAATAATATATAACAATTTATTACAAATATTTACGAAAAATTTTATCATGTCAAATGATACCTATATTGTAATTTAATGGAATAACATAAATAGTAAAAATGAATTTAAAATCTTTTTCTATGGTAAATAAGACTTATTTTTATGTTGGCCGGCAATTAAACCCTCTCAAAAGTGTCTGCCTAAATTACTAGTATTTTTAGAATTACCTAAACTTTCAATTGTCGGGAACATTTGTGATGCCAATTTATTAGAAGCTCTTCTAGTTCTTGTATTGCACAAATGTTCCAGTCAGCTGACGTATATTTAACTTCGCTTCATACTAATACGAATAGGGTCGAATATAATATTCAATGGCTTTAAAGTCAAACTGCTGTGCCGGTCGGAGTGGGAGGTGTTAGGTTTATTTTCGTTACGGTGTTACGAAATTTCTTGATTCGGTCGCCGCTCAAAGCCCGCGATAAAAGCTATGCAATAGCTTAAAAACGAAAACATAAAAAAACTCACTCAGACACGACGATGAACACAAAAAAAAAACACTAGGAAAACTCAAATTTTAAATTTCTTTTTTCTCTACTAAAAACATCGATAACAGATTGATTTTTCAGTCGGCCTATTTTCATTCATTATTCGCTTTGTGCGTGACAGCAGCGCCAATTATTTTATGAACTAACGGACGATATTTACGTATACTGACAATACAATTTTTCAAGGCATTGTAGATTTATTGTCTGAATTATTAATTTTTTAAAGTAAGTTATTTTGTTTTGCATTTTTTAGCAATAAATTGTATTTAGTTTTCTCTTGTTTATATAATTTTTTATTGTAGTCGGTTGGTTTGTTTTTAATGAGATTAGTTCTTTTTGTCTTTTTATTTAATCTGTATTCATATTACATTTTCTTTTAGGATGGGATATATTTGGAATTGAGGCATTAAAATGTTTCATAAATATATCATGAAGTGCTTCAGCTTTTTTATTTGCATTGGTTGCTTTTCTCATTTTATGCCAGGTTTCATTTTGCAGAAGATTATTAAGATTATTTATATTATTTAAAGAGAAGGATCTAAAATGGGTTATATCCTAATATGGAGCGCTCATGATTTAGGAAAGTTAATAATTGAGGGTCATGGTTTGACTCTGTAGTCCTTAACATGCGTGTCTGAGCAAAAGGAAAGTTAGCAAATATGTTGTCTGGACATGTTTCAGAGCTGTCTGTAATACGAATATATGTAAATATTGTTTGTTCAAAATTAAACTGAAGTAACAAGTTGGTGAGTTGTCTTGTTCTGCTATCAGCTTCTACAAATTTTACATTAAAATCCCCTCATATAATGATTCTACTATTATGTTTAGCTTCTAATAGTAATAAGACATTTGTTAAAATTGTAAGAAATATTTTAAAATTAGAATATTGTGAATTGGACCTATATTTAACAATGAGTACCAGATTAAGCTTTTTAATAAACCCCCCAGTTATTTCACAGTGGATTTCTTCTGACATATTCTTAATTTCTGGAATCTCAGCGCTTTGTAAAGTGTTGCGAATATATATATACTTACCCCACCATGGATTATGTGTTTCTCTACAAAAAGTAGTTACGTTATTAAAATGTGTGAGATTGAAACATGTCGCCTGTGTTCTGAAAAGCAAACAATTTTTACGTTTGTCATGTTATTAACTAGGTTGTCTAATTGAAGTATTTTGTTTCTAATACATTATACGTTTTGATCGAGAATGGAAATTTCTGTTTTGTCGGTATTGGTAACTTCTAAATTTTGATTCATTTGTTTCTTTACTCTCTCTAGAAGTAAATCGTTTTATTTTAAATTAGATAATCTTCAGTTGTTCTGTGCAAACCCTGTATGGTCGGTTATTATTCACTAAAAGTACAACATAAACAAATTAAATGTAATTTTAGATGTTATATTTGACAAAAAGGAAAGAACGGTGTAAAATTTCTCAGCGTTTTCTATGTCCGTGATACGTGACCGAGATGCAAATTAGCTGATGTTTTGTTCGGTCTGGTTTTTGGAAAATGGGGTAATGCGGTTGTTAAAAGTTCATTTCTCTCTATACGCCGTACTGTATCGGCAACTGCAATGAAAAGCGCGGATCTAGTTCGACTAGGCGTAAATATTTTATAACAGAAGTATGAAAGAAAGTATAAATATAATATCGTTTGGATAGGGATATAAAAGCTTTTTTTTTATAGTGTGCTTTATTCTAAAAGGTAGCTTCGAAACAAAACTTCGTATCGAAGATATAATGATATGCTCTTGTATCAATTTTCGTATCAAATAAGCTTTTACTTTTCCCTTTTTTACATTTTCTTTGCAAAAATGACATCTGGAATTCGACCAGGGTCTTCAGTGAGCTCAAAATCTCGTGGTTATCACTATGATAAAAAAATAACAATAAAATAAAAATGGTTTCCGACGAAATAAATACTGCCTCATATTGCTTTCTTATTTCGTTTTTATGTTAAACACATTTTTTTCTTTCCAGGCACGTATCAGGGGCAATGGATGCGGGGCATGCGACACGGTTACGGCATCCGGAAGAGCGCCCCCTTCGGCAAAGCGTCGAAGTACAGGGCGAACAAAACGATCAGGGCGTCGCTGACGTCTCTCCGCAGCAACGAAGGACCTCAAGGGGGACCTAATCCCGAACTGACAGAAAAAAGAGACCGGAGAGTTGATGATTCCAGGGGCGGCTTTGTGCTGAAGATGAGTTCTGCTGAGCCTACGGCGAGGAGGAGGTCACTTGGAAGCGGAAACGTGAAGAAAGGATTATTCACTGTAAGTAAAAAGCAGTATCCGAGGGGTTAACCACTATTTATTTTATAAAAAAAATTGATTTTAAATTATTTCAGATTATTTCGGATTATATCGAATTATTTTGAATTATTTCGAATTACTTCGAATTATTTCGAATTATTTCGAATTTTTTCGAATTATTTCGAATTATTTCGAATTATTTCGAATTATTTCGAATTATTTCGAATTATTTCGAATTATTTCGAATTATTTCGAATTATTTCGAATTACTTCGAATTATTTCGAATTATTTCGAATTATTTCGAATTATTTCGAATTATTTCGAATTATTTCGAATTATTTCGAATTATTTCGAATTATTTCGAATTATTTCGAATTATTTCGAATTATTTCGAATTATTTCGAATTATTTCGAATTATTTCGAATTATTTCGAATTATTTCGAATTATTTCGAATTATTTCGAATTATTTCGAATTATTTCGAATTATTTCGAATTATTTCGAATTATTTCGAATTATTTCGAATTATTTCGAATTATTTCGAATTATTTCGAATTATTTCGAATTATTTCGAATTATTTCGAATTATTTCGAATTATTTCGAATTATTTCGAATTATTTCGAATTATTTCGAATTATTTCGAATTATTTCGAATTATTTCGAATTATTTCGAATTATTTCGAATTATTTGGAATTATTTCGAATTATTTCGAATTATTTCGAATTATTTCGAATTATTTCGAATTATTTCGAATTATTTCGAATTATTTCGAATTATTTCGAATTATTTCGAATTATTTCGAATTATTTCGAATTATTTCGAATTATTTCGAATTATTTCGAATTATTTCGAATTATTTCGAATTATTTCGAATTATTTCGAATTATTTTGAATTATTTCGAATTATTTCGAATTATTTCGAATTATTTCGAATTATTTCGAATTATTTCGAATTATTTCGAATTATTTCGAATTATTTCGAATTATTTCGAATTATTTCGAATTATTTCGAATTATTTCGAATTATTTCGAATTATTTCGAATTATTTCGAATTATTTCGAATTATTTCGAATTATTTCGAATTATTTCGAATTATTTCGAATTATTTCGAATTATTTCGAATTAATTCGAATTATTTCGAATTATTTCGAATTAATTCGAATTATTTCGAATTATTTCGAATTAATTCGAATTAATTCGAATTAATTCGAATTATTTCGAATTATTTCGAATTATTTCGAATTATTTCGAATTATTTCGAATTATTTCGAATTATTTTAAATTATTTCGATTTATTTCGAATTATTTCATATTATATATTATTGGTCCTACAATGTCAGTATGAACTATACCTAATACCCTTTTTGCTTTTGTTCTTGTTCCAAAATTTAGCCTCATCATTTTACCATGTATGCAGGACTCACAAAAATCAATTTTACTCTCCTTTAAATTTTGTATACCTCTAACCATATTTTTATTTACCAATTTATTTAAATAAGAATTACACATATGTCCTAGTTTTTTATGCCATAATTTAACATTGTCATTTTCAGATTGTACGTTTAGACATTCTTTAATATTTAACTCAAATACTATTTCATATAACCTATTTCTTTTCCCTATTCCTACTATATCATTTCCTTTGTACATTATCAAAAATAACCTTTATATTTGACATTTCTAGTCGTTTTATAGACATTAAATTTTGACGCAAATTTGGAACATGAAACACATTTTTAATTGTACATTCTTGTGTTTTTCCACCTACATAACTATTTACTTTTATATTTCCTACGCCTATGGCTTCCATAAAATCATTATTTTTTGCAACAGAAATTTTTATAGGATTGCCCAAATACATAAAATCAGAAAAATATTTCTTATTGTTCACTAGATGATCCGTACATCCTGAGTCTATATAAAACAAAATATTACTTACATTATTATTATCTTGGTCCTTATTATCTAAGTTATCTTTTAGTCTGGTCATAAAACAAATACCCTTATTTTCAACGTCCTCTTCATTTTGTACAAAGTTCCCTTGTGCATTTTCATCCCTGTTTCTTTCATTTTAATGCCCATTTCCTTTATAATTGTAGCTACCTCTGAAATTACCTTTGAAATCACCTCTATAACCTCCTCTGTAATTTTGACCTCTGAAACCTCTATTTCCAATAAAACCTCTATTATTTTCAAATGACCTCGAAAACCACCTCTATACACATTTCTGCTCCTACATATTCTTTTGTAGTGTCCTCTTCCTCCACATTTAAAACAATTTCCTTCTCTATTGGCTACTGTAAAGGCTGCTGGCTTAATATTGTCTCTAACTTCATTGCTGTCATTATTTACTGCTTTTCTTCTTTCAATCTCACTTCTTAATTTTGTTTTCGCGATTTCAAATGTTAAGTCCTCACTACTCATGTTTTCTAATATTGTAATTACAGTTTCAAGAGCTGGAGGCAAAGCAAGAAGTAACGTACATACTAAATCTTCATCCTTAATTTCAGCTCCTGTTACTTTGAGTTGTCTAACAATTTCTTCGAATTCGGACAAGAAATGCTCTAATTCATTTGGCTTTTGCAGTTTCATGGTCATTAATTTTTTTCTTAGAATCATCTGCCCCGGAATGACCTGCTTTTCTACCTTTCTTCTAAGCTACCACATGCTAAAAGCTGTATTTTTATCTCGAATTAAATCGATTTGGCCATCATCCAAACATTGCACAATGTTTGTTATCATTACTCTTTGCTTCTTTCTTCCTTGCCTCATTTTCATAGTTTTCTTCTTTATATCCGCATTTAATACTTTGAATTTCATTCTGAATTTCCATGTATGGTAATTGTTTGAGTTAAGTAATTCTATATTAAAATTATTTTTTGAATTTCTAGGTCCATAACCTGTTGTAATTGTTGTATATTAATACGCAGTAGATCACTTATATAACGTTTATTTAATAAAGACAATGAATATGCAAACAGCGTTCTAATTATTATTAATACCAGAGAAAACCATTTTTTATCATTTACATCAGAGACACAGGAACAACCTTCTTCGTCTCTTTTGACATCTGACATTTGACATTATATTTATCTTAGATCGTCAATAACTAGACTTGAACTTAATATAAGGTAAACGGAAAGCATTACTTATGAATAAAATGGGTTTATAACAACAGTTTCCATGTCGATTCTGTATTTAAAATGTATATTTTAATAACCAAAACGATTTTATCCATTTTTCGACTTTTCTTCACATTGACGTTTCTTATAAATCATTGATGCGTTGCTCTGGTAATGAATTGATTTTTTTAAATTCAATCGGGATTGTGTGAAAACATTGTTACATGCAGTTTTTATATCATTTGAGGTACTTCAAACAAATAAGTTTCTGTTAATATGATTTATATTAATTTAATATCACTAAATATTGGACAAATAAATCATTTACTTGAAAACAAAATCGTCCAATTTTATCAGTGTGCAATTTTGGTGATTTCGTCGAAATCTCCCTTATTTTCATACGATTTCGGTTATTTCGATGAAATCACTGTACATAATTTGCTATGATTTCTCTATAACTAAAATTTTCTTCTTGAATATTTTGCGTTTTATAATTCTGGACGACAAATTGATTTCGATGATGATTTCGACCTTGGTTTTCGGTGATGATTTCGGAAATTTTGACAAAATTTTTAGCGTACAAATAGTGATTTCGAATGAAAACATACCAGTATTTCGGGAGTGGTTCACCCCTCGGGTTCGCCCCTCGTCACTAGCATAATCAAAATCATTTAAAAATTTATGACACTATAATCTTATGAGTAGGTATATTTTAAAATGAAAATGAGAAATATAAGAACCCTGAAGAGGTTAGGTACATTTCGATGAAGGCAGCGTAAGCAGGGAGAGTGAAATATCTCTCGTACATCAAAAAAATTACTAACAAAATTTAAACACGTTATAATTAATTTTAGGGACTGAAACTGAAAAAACAACGAAGTACTGGTGACCTTGAAAAGAGAGGAGGATCCGGTAGTATACGATCGACGGGATCTTCAGCATCATGGGTGAGCACTGATTCTGCGCAGTCGGCCATGACGAATGCGTCAATACCGTCCGATTCAAACGCTAGTTTTGTTATAGAGGTAAGCATACATTAGGTATAATAAAGTATCCACAAAAAATGTTTCCAAAGTATGCCATGACCGACGAAGACAGGAATACGAGTGGAGTCCATGGGCGTCGCCACATGAGGGCAATGAGGCCATCTGTCCCCCCTGGATTCGTGATTTTTTATTTTTCACCATGGCTTTCACCCAGATAACAATTATACATTTTTGGCATATTTTCAGTATATGCTTTTTAAGAATGTGCATATGCTGAGAATATACTGTATTTGCATTTGGAACATTCTCAGAATATACCAAGAATATGCTACGTGACGTTGTTTATACGTGCTATGCAGATACTGAGAATGTACTTCAAGTATGTGTACAGCATGCAATAGGTATCTACTCTAATTTGATAGTACGTTCTAAGTATATGCTAAGTATTTAAATATAACATATGCTGGGCATATACTAGACACCATAATACAGGATATTTGATTAATATTGAACATTAAAGAATAAGTGTACCTATATAATAATGAAAATCGTGACCATTTTTTTAATCTTTATTTAAAAAAAATCATATATACTTATCTTATTTTTATTACAAATTCTTTCTTTGACCTTAACCAACCAATATTTCATTGGATCTTCATTGAACCTAAAAAATAAAAAAAATCAACAAAGTTGGTACATATACAAATTAAGTATAGATAGCTAATGGAATATTTTTGTCGAACGTAAAACATTAAAAATTGTACATGGCATTCCACTAACAAAAACAAGAGTTACATAAATGATTATTATGTTCAGTGAAAGTTTAAATATATTTTTGTTAATTACTTACCACCATTTTGTAGTTTTCGTCCTCCTTTAGCTAATTTTAGTTTTTCCAGGTCAATTTCTGGCTTTACAATATTTTTTTCATAGAAACTGTGTCCTAAAAACTACAAATATAGTAAAATTTGTTTATTTTTGTATAAAACACACGATGCAATTAATTTTTAATAATTTACTTACCCATTACAGACTGAAACGTGATCTAAAAAATTTTTAGGAATTGTAGGTTATGTTATTCTTCTCTTCTGTTAAAGTGGCAAATGTTTGTTGGTCTGAACCCTCAACGTTAGTGCGTTTGCTAACGAATTATCAGATCAACATCTGGGAAAAATTTATATAGATGTGTATATAAACGTGTTTTTACATGTATTTGGTGTTAATTTTTACCTGCAAGCATTTAGAACATTCTCAGAATATGAGGAACATGCTGGGTATATGAATTTTGGTATCTTCTAAGAATGTCCTGTTATAGCACGTGCTGAGTATATACTTTTTTAAATATACTTTTAAGGCACATACTCAGTATATATACTTTTTAGAATATACTTTCATAGCACGTACTCAGTATATACTTTCTAGAATATACTTTCTAGAATATACTTTCTAGAATATACTTTCTAGAATATACTTTCAAAGTATATACTAGGTATGTTCTAAGAACATTCTAGAAAGCATATACTAAAAAGAACATAGACAGAACATTCTTAGTATATTCATAGATCATTGATGTTATGTGGGCAACTACTGTTTGCAGTGTTTTGACTCTGCCTATAATGCTTCTTCCCGTGGAAATTTTTTAAACGGCGCCTATGGTCATGTCCGACGTACGTGAATTTTTTCCAAGGGATACTTTAGAAATATTTTTTGTGGATTACTAATTTTTTTTGATTTAATATACAAACTTATATCTGTTGTGGTTCGTATACCTTTATTTATTAATTTGCTAGGTATTGGACTCAATAAAACAACAATGTGGTTTAGGTTTGTATACCTTACGGTACTTTTTGTTTACCTTCTTAAGTACTTGTATTTACTGATAACATTAAAAATTATGTTCATTTTTTTAGAACAATATTTTGTTCTTTTGTATTTGAAAATATTTCAAAACCTCTTTTAATAAATAAAATAAAACCTCAAACTACCTATACAACTATATCTAAAATTGATACTGACAAACTAATTTCTAAATTTGAAGCTTTAATATGGGAAAGTGTTCTCAATGAAAATAACCCTGAAATAGTAACACAAAAGTTCTATGACAAATATCTCAATAGTATTGAATCATGTAAAATTGTAAAAAAAATAAACAAAAAAATCATAAAAAGATAAAACCTTGGATAACAAATGGCTTAATCAATTCCATCGAAACCAGAGAGATAAACTAAAAAAGCAATTACAAAAAACCACTCCATTAATAAAGAAAATGAATATAAAATTGAAACTGACTAAAATTATTAAATATTAATTTAAAAAGAATAATGTTTCACTAGATTTATGTTGTGGAAATGTAGGTAAATGAATTTAAAAACGTCTATATTTCTAAATCACTTACAAAGTCATTTTCTGAAATAATATCACTATCATCATCGGTATCGTCCAAATTTATTTCAATTTTTTGAATTGTATTGTTAAATCTCATATATTTCTCTTCGATTTTTTTAATGTGTTAAATAGCGTTTTTCCAGTTTTCAACAGTTATACATGCATTTCTTACTACATCAATTACAAAAGAAGTGGACTTAGGAGAAGAGTTATTTGCTGGAGAATAATTTTTTAACTGTGACCATAATAATTCTATGGGGTTCAAAATACAGTGGTAGGATGGTAAACCTAAAACTTGAAATCCGTGTTTTATTGCTATGGTGTCGATCCGTGTTTTACTGCTATGGTATCGATAACATATTCAGGTTGAAAATCAACCAAGTGTAAAAGTTCTATTAACTGTTTTTTGTGTAGTTTTTTTCAAAAGAATATATCGTTCTCCATCAGAAAGTCCTGAATCACTGACTTCGTAGAATTGGTATTTGGTTTTTTTCGTACCAACCGAGAATGGTACGGGGCATTATCTAAAACTAATACGCTATTTTCATTTAGTTTTGGTAGTAATGTACTCTCAAACCATTTTTTAAAAAGAGTACTCTCTATGTCCTGGTGGTAGTTCAAACTACTATCCCGTGCATCCTTTGCAGACAGCAAGAGAGCTCCTTCTACCCAACCTGATTCTCCACGACAATGTAAAATGCATATTCTTTTTCCTCCAGATGGAGGAGAGTATACATTACATTTTAAACTTCAATCAGTTCAACATTTATTTATGATGTCGTGAGTGTCGAACCAGGTTTCATCTAAAAAATGACTGTTTCTGCCCTCTCGTCGATAATCTGTAACTAAATCGAGATATTCTCTTCTCCATTTAACCAAACAGCTGGATTCCATAATTGTTTCTTTTATTAATGGTTTTAAATTTAAAACCGTTGGATTTTAAAAATCTCCATAATGTCATTTTATGGCAGTCTTCTATTAACGTTTTTTGTTTTAGACGTAAAAATAACGTGTTCAAAGTAGGAAAATTAATTACAGAGAACATTTCATAAATTGTTTCCCTAATCGGTTCTAAGAGAAACTGTGGAATGGAACAAGATGAACCAGAATCTCGTCGTACCTTTCTAGGTGGTGCCCCGTCCTGTAAAATTTTGTATACAGTTGACTGTGGTACTTTTGTCAAAATAACAGTCTCTTTTAGGGCTTCAGAGGAAGACAATTCATTTTTTAGACCTGTAAATAAGACTCAGTGTTAAAATCCAATATATTTAGAAAATTGACATTTTTCTAGATTTTGACGTGTTGTTTTGGATTTTCCACCTTGCGGCCTCATATCTTTGCCGCTCGCGCCCAAAAACAGTTTTTTTAAAATATTACCTATTAAACTAGAGAACATTTCCTACAATTTAAGTGGTTACCTCTTTCTTGTAAAATGAATAGTTTTAACGCAAGAGCGCCCCAAAGTTTACTACTGAGTATATCTCATCCAAATTGAACAATAATTGTTTATGATTAAAAACTGTAATATAAAGGTAAAGATTTCAGTATTTTAATTTTCTGAATTTGTTTTAGTAAAAATTTTAACTTTTCACTAAAAACTGCGTTTTAAGTAGTATTTCATTAATAATTCGAGTAAATCGCATTCAAAATTTGCGAAAATAGTAAATGTCATGACATGTATAGTTCTTCCATTATCAATTGCAGAACATAAAAACTCGTTCGGAACCTTTACCGACAATTTTGTTTGATCTGCCATAGGCGTAGATACCTACCTCATTTTATAAATTTATTTTATTAATACTTTTAATATATATCATATGCAAGAAAGTATTCGTTAAAAGGAAATCGAATAATTATAAATTGGACGTTATTATACGCCCTTATTTAGACAGATGCACTTAATTGTAATCTTACTTGTGCTTAAAAAAAATCATTATAGCTCGTTAACTTGCTACAACTGAATATTAAATTATAAAACGTAAAAAAGCGAGTAAAGTGTACCTGCCTGTAAGGGCGTTTGGTTTAAACAGGGTACCAGACGTGAACTGAGCCGTTTTTGTACCCCATTCGTTTTTTTTCTGGAAAACAAAATTTCAAAGCAAAAACCATAAAGAAAAATAAATTATTTGCAAATAAAACAAAAGAAAAAAAACAATTCAATTCTAAAGTATCTTTATAAATAATCATGGCAGTCTGAATCCTTTGAACTAGAGTCATCATTTGGTTGAATTATGATGGGTTGTAAAGAGGGTAATACTACATACTCTTCTTCTTCTTTAATAACATGTTCGACGCAGTTTTTTTCCAAAGCTCTTGGCGGTCTGCTGCTAGAACTTTATTTACCAGTTCTACAACCTCTTTACTCAGTTCTGGAGACTGATTACATTTTCGTAATTCTGATTTTACGTTTGCCCATATTAACTCTATAGGGTTAAATATGCAATAGTAAGGAGGTAGTCTAAGAAAAGTATGACCCTGTTCTTTGCACAGCTTGTCAATATCATAAATTTTTTCCAACTTCATGCCTTTAATAACAGTAAGCAATTCTTTGTTTGTTGGGCCTTTTTTACGATCACTGGCAGGAATAGGAATATTTTTTTCAGACATAAACGCTAAAATTTGAGCTTTGTTACTGCTACTATTTGGTATTTTAA